AAAATCAACAGGATGTAAGTCAGGTTTTTTCTGGGTTGGCTGTTGAGCCAGCAGGCTGAAGATGAGTATTAAAGCATAATCCTATGTTGAAGACATCTGACCTCTTCAGTTAAATGAAAAACTCAACACTATGCTGCTCTAAGCTATTTTTGAGAATAAATTAGAGAAACTTTACTAGAAGAGTTTTGATTCATACATGAACTTCTTTCCCTGCCCATCAGTGCTTGCCCTTCAGAATGATACTGTAGTCCTTTTCTGGTTCATCGAATGTTAAAAACAAGTGCCAGCTGCCAAGCTTTCATCTCATCTGACAGATTCTGCAATCTATACTTTTTTCTAATGAGGGCTCAATCTAATTCCTATTGAAGATGGATTCTTCACAGAAGATGTAACATTTATAATTTAAAGTAGAATATATGGGTTTTTTTCTTTCCCCAGGAGAAAAGGAACATTAAACTCAAAGATAGTTATCCAAGTCATCTGGAATGCTTTTGAAAAATGATTTTAGGTTCAAAATCTCTAAGGGCATCTGCAGCTCTAATTTTGGTTGTATTTTCTGAGTTTTCTCACACACAGTGATATAATAAAACTTCAGTATTGAAGACAAAACTTGCCCTTTTTTTTAAACACCCCCCTATTTTAAAAGTCCTTAAATGCTGGTTATTAAATTGACTTCTGAGATTTTATAATTCATACAGCTATGTATGTAACAAAAGTTTTTTGTGTGTGCATAAAGCAAACTGCAGTCATTGAACTAATGAAAGCAGAAAAATCCTTAGTCTTGTTGATGCTCATGAAGTACATAATTTAGCTTGAAGCAAATGCTTGGTTACAAATCTCTGAACATAACAGAAAATGGAGTTAATCACTGGATGAAGCCAGGCTAACTTGAGTCTCAATGCCTGAACCAGCAATCTTTCATTCTGTGAAAGAAGAAAAAGACAATGACACTGATTTGTAATTGGAGACGAAGGAGTGCTGCAGATTGAGCCTGTTAGGTAGCTTTATTTCAATGGACAGACTAATTTTCCAAGTTTTTTCTAGTTAAGAGCATCTGAAATTCTTAAGCAGAACAAATTCAGGCATATTTCTAAATAAAAGCCCCTCTTCCCGTTTCCTGAAATAAGAGGTGCTATTTTGGCTTTACGGCTTTTTTTTCCGCTCGCTACTGAAATACCTCTGACCATGCTGTAATTAACTAAATAGTAAATTAAATATTATCACTGGTGGCAGCGAAGTGCTGGTAAGATGGCTAACCTAACAACCAAACTGGATCAGAGTAAGGAAAGAGAACAGATATTAGGCAGTTTAAATCCATGTTATTTTGCCATAAAGCTAGAATGTACCAGTACTTGAAAATTTAATTTTTGAGTACTTAATGCTGAAAAAATAATTTAAAAAAATGGAATCTGATAATTTGTTGCTCATCATAAACAATTTTGTGTGAAAATGAATTCTCTAAGTTGCACATAGGTGATGATTGTCCTTGCTTAAGCTGTTAAGCTGCACGTTTCACAGCATATGCTACTACAGAAAGCACGGCAGTTCTCTCATGTCTTACACAACAGGCAGCGTTAGAACACCTCGATGCGGGCATTTTCAACCACGGTTAAAATGATACTTTGCTCTCTAAGAGGGCATGTGCAAAACAGGCTATATTAAATGCATGTGGATAAAACTTGTGTGGTTAAGTTTGATTAAAAATATCTTGAAAAGGTCATTCTCTTCTGCCATAGTTCTGTCTAAGATGTAGCATACCAATCTGAATCAGTAAAACGAAATGCTGAAGATAAATTGCCAAGTAAAGTGCAAAACGAAGGGATTTACAAAGGATTGTTATGAAAACACAAATAGCCTTTTCAGAACTTGTGTAAAACTAAGTATCTGCAATAGTCATGTTTAAAAAAAGCCTTGAACCTCTGAAGAGGTTTTCTTATAATGGGGAGCCATTCTATGAAAAACAGCTTTTCTGGTGCATAGTTGTTTTCTCTCCTGATCATATTAATTGCATAGAACTGAAAAAAATGCAAGTTTTATTGTACTATCAGTGCAGCTTGGGACATGAATTATTTCTAACAGGATTGCCCATTGCTCCACTCCTTGTGGTTTTACAGTACTGGCTGCTAGATGAAGTAGGTAGGACAGAGAAACTAGCATCTCAATTGCTTCAGCTAGTCTGAGTAGGAGTTTAAAACAGCTATGGAAGTCAAGGGGGGAAGGAGTTGAGGGACAGAAGCATTAAGATAGACACAAAAATCTCAGTGGTCTTTGCAGATTCCTGCTTTTGATAATTTAGCATACAATACTCCTTCCAGAATACTCACTCCAGGGGAGTCAGGACACACTTACATTATCATGGTGTTTGACAAAGCAAAATGACATCATATTAAGGCACCAGAACTTTAAAAGGAGGTAGCTCTTTGTGAAAAAATGAATCGAGCTCAAGGAGTACTTTAGTTTTTTAATATGGAAATACTACAGAAAGGTAGTCTGCAGAACCAGAAATAAATTCAAGGATGGTATTGTGTTACCGGCACAGTTTATCCCATCTGGTATGCAGTGACTTTCTGCCCCAGCCCCTCACCTACAGGTTAGTGTTTGTGTGTCCTCCTGTCATCCCCCTCCCTGTAGTCTTAGGCTGTGTGATTCTGTGAACTGCTTACCATATTATTAATACTGCTTTAAATTGAAAATTCCAAAGTACTGCATTATGATCAGTAAATTATTATTATGCAGCATGAAAACAGACTTCTGAAAACTTTGGGAGTGAAAGATCCACAGAAAGGTCAAACAAGTCACCTGAAGGTTTTCCTGAACACGGCATTTTTTGCTAGTGAAATGTTTGGTGGGTTCCAGAGATTAGAGTGCTTAGTGTAATTCAAAGTCTGATCCTGGCGCAACATACTATTGCAGAATCAGAAAGGGCAGCATGGGGGGTGTGCAGAACAGGATGCCTGCCTCTTCTGTACTGCTCTATAGTGACTGCATTAGTGGGGTGTTCCATCCCTTTTTTCTGCCAGGTGATCCTCTTCTGCAGATAACATGGCACAGCCCAGTAAAATGACAATATTTTGGAATGTACTGCAGTTTCCCTCTAGGTCTAGATGACTTCCCGTTCTTTTCAGATACTCCAGTGAGAAGTTAGGAGAACATTAACATCTGAAGTTATAGGTCTAGGAGAAGAGTAAGGTAAACTTGCAAGTTAGTCAAAGTACAGTTCCATTCCATCTCAGAGAAATCACAGTATACCTACATTCAGTTTTCTGCTGTGGTTTGTTGGGGTTTGGTTTGTTTGTTTGTTTGTTTTTGGTTAAGATAATCCAAAACATAGCTATCTGGCACCTCAAAGTAATTACAGATGCTTCTCTGCCCTTGGTACAGTTTTACAGCACTGCAGGAAGTTCTCAAGGAAGATGGCAACAGATTTTTGACAGCTTCCTGTGGCCTTCAAAAAAAAAAAATGAATGGGTAAACATATTCTGAAGTAGCCTGAATGTGAAATTTGCTTGTTTGGTAGAGAGGACAGGCAGCTTACTCAAACTCAAGGTTGGTCTTCGTGCACTGAATCACTGGGTTCTTTTATCTTTTTGGATGGCATGACTCATACTTTCAACAACAGAATAACTCGACTGTAATAACTGATCCTTTCTGTGTTGAGAGCAGAGAAGTGGTAATGGTGTGTATGAAGTCAAGAAAACTTTTTAGTATTACAATATCAATACATGATTCTATCCAAAGAAGAGAAGTGGGATGTGTACATTTTAAATTTGGCCATCTTTGTCTTTAACCAAAATACTGGTAAGAATCATCTTAGTTACAGGATTAAGGCTGCAATAAAGAAAAAATAATTTAGCCGTTTTCCAACGTCTGCAGATTTACTGCTGCAAACAATTGTCTTAAGATTTTTGCAAGGTAACTGGTTCAAAAGCAGTGGAACTTTCTCCATCTGTTTCACTTATTTTTATCGTCCTCCTTTTCCTCACCTGCTCTGAATTTTCAGAGTGTAAAAGGTGAGGTCTGTTGGTCATGGGTTTGCTCTGCCGCTAGGAGGGGAGGTATTACTAGTCTGAGTTAGGATCTGGTGGAGAATCCACACTCTAGGATCTGAATACTGAGAGTAAGAATATGCAAGTGTTATTTAAAGAATGTCACTTTTGTTTCCAATAAGCTCCTAGATCATTTCTCTGCAAGATGCCACAGTTTGTCGATGAGAGAAATAGTATCGTTGGAAATGGCATTTTTCAAAAGTAAACAATGCAGCTTTAAAAGCTGATTTTGTTTTTTCCTGAAATACAAATGATATTTAGAAGCTGCATTATTAAAAGCTTAATATGATCTTTATGCCCTTGGAAGTCTCTTTACCTTTGTAACTGTCCCGAACTGAGTAAAGACAGAGTATCTGCGTACATGTACACTAGCTAAGGCTGTACTTAAGACATTCTTTTAATACAGCGATTTAGCATTTCATTTTTCTTTCTTACCTGTACTGTCCTCAATGAAGATTTTAAGGAGCCAGTTCTTTGCACGGGGGACTTTGAATTTGCACGAACTATGTCTAAGCGAGATTGATAGTCTGGCGGATGAAGTGAGCTCCGAAAAACCTGTTCAAATGGAGAAGGCTGTGACTTGAGTGCCATGGTACAGCTTGCAAGCTAACAATCACCAAGACTAAAGCTAACAAAAATGCAGCATTGTGTAATTAAACCTGCTCTAGACATATGCATCAACTGTAGTTTGGATTGATCACTTCTGGCTGAAACCACACCCTTGCTCAAAATCCTTGCTGCCAGTCACAGCTGCATCAGAGAAATTTTATTCAAAATGTTCAGGAGATGTGCAGCTCAAGAAAAATATGGGAGAACCCTTAGAATGCAGGGGAGACTGTATGTCTTGCACTAACTGAATACTGCCATCCTTGGTCCTAAGGTACGTCATGGAAAAAAACTAAAATTAGGACTGGGAAGATTTACAAAAAGAAGACCAAAAATGATCCATCTTTCTTGACAAGCTGAACACATATATACAACATACATTTCAATGATAGCAAGTTTAAAGGCCCAACATCCAGAAGAACTGCAAGAATGAATAAAGGACTGAAAAACATGACTTAGGAAAGAGAGACTGTAACTCAAAGAGAACAGAAACACTGACTTGAAGCTGAAACTGCTACAAGGCAAAAAAAGCAATTTGGTAACAAATGTCTCTTAATTCTAGAACACCCTAATAAAAAACAATGACTGAAAGATGAAAACAAGCAAACTCAGAATAGAAAGGAGAGATTTGCAATGAAATAATTAGTCTTTAGAACATCTCATCAGAGCGGTGTAAGATTTTCTCTTACTGTGCATCTTTACAGGGAGATTCACTGCAGAGGTGTTCTTTAAGAACCATGGTTAGCTGAGCTTGGAGTGGCAGTTAATTTAGGAAAGGTCTCTTATCTGTATTTTGTGGGAAAGGTTAGATTGCCGCTACAGTTGTTATCTTTTTAAAAAAATCTGAGTTTATAAACCTGCATGCTTTTGCTGGAAAAGTGCAAAAAAGGGCTTGGGATACCCAAGAAGTTTGTTCTGGGAATCTGAAACATATGTTTCATTTTCTGCCTAGGACATGTATAGCCCCAAAGCACGAAAACTGTTTTTATGTAGTAAGTAAATTGAAAAGCAAATCTTAATCACTCTTACCTCTAAATCTTCATTTTCATCAATATTTTGGATATTTTGGTAGGCAGCAGTATATATCTCTAAAGCTTTCCCATGGAATAACATTTCAATAGTTATAAATTCAGAAAATATGTTCTAAAAGCAAACAAAAGCAAAGGTTTTCTTAATGCAGGAAAGTACATTTCCACTTCAAATACACAAAATTACTGAATTCTGTACTTGGTATTTATATGATACAAATAACTGCTCAATACTTAGTACTTTTAAATAGTCAGACCTGACTTTTAGAAATTAAACATAAATGCTGGCTGGGCTGTCACTTAGACAGTTGTCATTTCATACTAAATTCTAAGTAAACGCTTGAGAAGCGGAGACTTGTTAAGAATAAATAAAATGCCATGCTGAAAACTCACTTGATATTCCCTGATATGTATTCACAAAATGTAGTCAGTGGATTTTTGCTTTACTGATGGTAATCTTTTTTAACAGGTTGGGGATAAATTATCTGTAAATTTTATACATAACTGTATTTTACAGATAATTATATATTTTATAGAATAAAAGATTCCTTAGATATAAAAAAAACCACTTAATGATGACATCTTCCAAACTCACACAATCTTTTTCATATTACTCTAAGATGAAGTACTGGTTGGTTTGGTTGGGTTTTTCTACCATCTTTAGTTTTTCCTATGTAGTCTGTCTGTCCCCCCCGCCTCCAAAAAAAAAAAAGTATCTCACTTCAGCAATTTTATAATTAAATTTGAGATCACATAATGCAAGTGTTTTTCAGTCACTATAGTCTTTGGGACTTAAGCCACTTAATGTTTGATATTAAGAGAGAAATGAAAGCTTTGATTAACTTGCAGTCACTGAACATTTTGCACTTTCTGCATCAGTAAAACTTTTAACTGCAGTAACCTACACAAATTTCAGCATGGATAAATATATTATTTACTTGTCACTATTTCTGTTAATTTTGCTGATACTAATCCACATGTATCATTCTGCTAACAAATGCAGCTATCAGTGAAGTAGACTACAGCAACTGTTGCAAGGTGCAGATGCTAAACAATTGGATACAGGAAAATTCTGAATTCAATAAACTGCAAGAATAATGAACTGATGTTTTAATTGCAAAGTTCATGATATTTGGATTATGAAATATTCCTGAATATCACTAGATTTGTATTTAAATAGGCTTAAATTAATACTAAATATTGCTGATCTTGCCAAAGAGTAACTATAGTACTTTTATTATGCAAGATGAAATGTGATGTCATATACTGAAACATGCGAACACATACTTTTATGTCCTTTATTTTCCGTTTCTCAAAATTATCAATGGTTTCCTCTAATTGCCGAGTTGTTCGAGTTGCATCCAGTGAAGCTCTCTGCAGTTCAGTTTCAGCCTGGTAAAGTAACACAAAGGTGAAATTAGCCCTGTATTTGATACAAAGATAGTTGCTGCAATTGCCACAAAAAGTCTTGGGTTTTCAAAATACTACACATCTGTGTTACTGTATTTGTAATTTTGTTTGTAGCTTAATAAACAAATAAAGATGCCTTCTACACTGTTGTGACTTTGATCTGAAACATGAAAAATGACTAGTTGCAGCCAGTCGGGAAAATCCCACTGCCCTAATCCATTTTCTGTAACAATCATCTGCTAATTCCACTGAGCCAGCCCTGACACTCCGCTGAGGACACAGTGACCGGGTTCAGGAAATTAACCCAGCACAAGGGCTTGCCCTTCAGAAAAGTGTGGTGTTTTTTTTTTAAGCTGGTGTGAAGGAGATGGCAGGAGTGCACAGGCCAGAGCGGTGGATGAGCAGAAGAGATCACCCTTTATTTTCAAGTGCAGATCAACCTGCTGGGTCTAGAACGAATCTTTACCAGTGTCACGTGCTGAACCTTGTCTTGCTAAGTTTTTATAAATTATTTAAACAGACAATAGAGCAGCAGCTGGAACTAATGCACTTCTCCCATAAGTATCTCAATCAGCAGACTAGAGTTAATATCATTTTTATATCCAAAAGCATTTCAGGTATTTTATATTTTTAGTATATTATTAAAATATTTTATAAAAAACATCTTCAACAGGGCACTGGGAAGGGGACACACAAACCAATCCCTAATGCATAAATACACAGTTTTTCTTATTTTATTGCTACAAACAGCATTTTAGATATGTATTTGAGTTAGATGTAACTATAAACTGTATAAAAATGCACACTAACATTTAAATAAAGATATTGAAGCTATTCTGGTTAAGTAAAGTCTGAGAACTGTGTGCTATTACAAAATGATGTAAAGATGTAAGAGCTTGCACTTGAAGATGCGAAATTTGGGTCTAAGCTTATTTTATTTCCATACATTACTGGTCAAACATCATAGACTAGTCAGGACAGTATTTACTTCCAGGCTCTGTTGGCGAGGAGCATCAGGAATCTATTCTATCCTGGGATTTGGGAATAGTATGTGGATCAAGTAATTGTATCCTATGATCAAGACGTAGGATTCTTCCCATTTCTACAACTCTGCAACTTAAGAGAGGGACTTTTTTTTAAAAAAAAATATAAATAAACACCACAGTCCCAGTTCACATGATCTAGTTTTTAGTGTTGTATGTATATGGAAACCTAAGGCATAAGGATGCTCTGTCACTTCTTTCATTAAAATCTGGGAACCTTGTATTACAGGATTATCAATTTGAAACAACCTCCTTAGAAAAACGGCTTAAAGTCATAGACACAATTCTGCCATTACTTTGCAAACAAAATTGGTAAAGATCTTTAGTAGAACATAAAGTCACACTTTCATCTCCCTTTCTTGATTTTGCCCAAAACACAGGAGGGAAACAGAGTAAGACAAGACATTTTGTGTATTCTCTGTAAATGAAGGCAGTTATGATGCATAAGCAGCCATTACACATACAAATACAGTATGTTATTTCTATGATAATCAAATAGATCTTCTTGATCCATCTTAAATAGACTGGCCAGATTTTGTGCACAGATGCTTTGGGAAAGGAATTTTGTTGTAGAGTGAAATGTCCAGCTTGTAGAACCTGCATAGTTTGCACAACAGCAGTTTGATATTTTCTCTTCTGAAACACTCACCTGTGACTGGAAATGTTAGTAAAGGAAAAAATGGCAAAATAACAATATTCATAAAAGTATCTGTTTTCACTTCTACTTTTAATATATTGTGAAGTATCTACCTCAGATATTTCAAAACCTCTGTATACTTGGAGGGTGCTATTATTATGTTGTCTGAAGCTTCCTGCTGTAAGATGTGACTTATAGTTTGTTATAACTCTGCTAGAATTCAAGTATCCAGGACAAAATATTTCAGCACAGCTGTTTGTCTGGGACTGAGGGTTTGGTTATTTATTTTAAAAAAAAAAAAAAATTCAGACAACATAGGTAGACCATTTAAGGAAAAAAAAAAGATTTAAAACCCCCACATTTTTATATTTTAAAAAATACGGT